TCAGGCACAATGAATCACTCTTGTATGTGTTTACTCAGAAGGTGCTTTGAGACTAAGATGTAAACACATATGTTCACTTACTCACCAAGATTCATGAACAGAGATGGGCACTGCAGATTTTTCCGCAAGCATACCCTGAGTTCATTAGTTGCAGGCAAAGCGTGCTTGCACTAACACAAGGACAGTACCTCCTATGCCCTAGGGCAGGATCACAGAGAATACACCCTCACACAAAGTTTAAAGGTAGAATAGTTGTGCGGATACTGCTGATCAATACCTTATCTATCGGACATCAATGACCCACGCCTAGAACAAGGTAGCCAGAAAAACACCTGTCACATTGACCCGCTGTAAAAATCTCAACAAAGAAAATCTAGGTTGAAAAAACCCAGTGACATTTATAATAAACCTGCAGCAAAGATGTAAAATAGAAATTAAACACTTGTAATTTTACTTTAGTTTTGGAAAATTGAGATTGATTTAAATGACCATTTTATGTAACATTAGACAGTACAATAACTGCATACATTTAAAACAATATTCATGTTTTCTAGGGACAAAACAGTAAGAACGGCTGCACATGTTACATTTACATGGCCCATGTGGTAACTCTTAAAACTGCATTTACATATAAAACAAAAACAAGATGTTTCTCAAAATTTGACCTAATGAAAACGAAACTCATTTAACCTATTATTCATAATTCAACAATGTCTTTCCAAAGAGACATGACTTGACACCAGTTTGGTGTGTAATTGAGCTGATGAAAAATTCATAAAAGATTATATATTGGTGATCAAGTATGCAATTGTTCCTAATGCCAGCAACTTCAGAATGAATTACCCTGTTGTAAAGAAGGCATATTAGCTCATGTGTGAACACACAAGAACAAGCTTTTCAAGTAAGTCTACTGATGGATCCTCAAGGCAGTTCATGTGCTTTGTTTGCTGTTGACTGTGAGCTCCCTCTCAGAGCTGATGCTGGTAGAGGTGGTCTCTTTACGGCTGTCCCTTGACCTCCTCTCAAAAGTGGGAGAGGAGGATGTTGTGCATTCTGCCCAAGGCCGCAGAGGGAGGACTCGAGCAGCCAGGCTGGGCAGGTGAGGGTGGCCTCCTGAGCGTCCCTCTGTAGTAGTGAAGCAGCTCTCTACAGCAGAACTCTGGCTGGGACGGCCCTGTTTGCAGAACAGTCCACAGAGCAAAGCTAGGAATTCCTTCCTCACACTGCGGTGCATGTAACCGTAAATGTAGGGGTGTAGGCAGCACTGTAAAAAAAAGAACACAAGAGCAAGGGACGACAGCCAGGGTGGTACAGCTGCTCTGGTGCTCATAGATATAGTATTCAGTACAGTGTAAGGACCCATGCTGAGGATATATGAGGCCATGATCACAAAAACTACACGAGCAGCCTTGCAGTGGTAGTGGAACCGTCTGTGCCTGACTCGAACAGGGTATGCTCTGGCTGAGTAGGGACCATCAGGTGAACTTCCCTGCTGGTCTTGGGGCTGTCGCTGTGGACTGCTAGATCCCTGGAAGTCTTGTGGGCAGGGCTGGGAGATGGATTGTGTCTGTACAGGGTGCACAAGAGCATTCTGCCTCCGAGCCGCTCTGAACACCATCCAGTAACATCCGAGCATAATAAGCACAGGCAGCCAGAAAGACAAGGTGGACACTACAGCAGAGTAGGACAGGCTAGAGGACCACACCACTGAGCACGTATTGTGACGACGGTCAAAGTCAATGATGCCCCACCCATACAGCGGAGGGGTGCTCTGCAGAAAGCTGAGCACCCAGGTGCAGATAATGAGGTTGGTGCCCAGGTGAGGGGTCATTCGAGTGGGATAGGACAAAGGGTGGATGATTGCCAGGTAACGATCCACAGAGACGACTATAATTGTGTTGACCCCCGCGAAAGCAAAAAGGTGCATGAGCACCACCAGGGCCTGGCACAGTCTGGCATCCAGAGGCCACACACCTGGCACTGTAGCTGCAATAGCAAAAGGCATGACCAATATGGTCTGGAGTAGGTCTGCCAAGAGGAGGTTGAGGACAAAGCGGTTTGCAACATGAAGGAGCTGAGGCTTCCTTTGGAACACCAACAGAACCACCACATTCCCAAACATGGACATACACACAATGAGAGATATGAGCACCATCTTCACCACACTGTTGGCAGTGGAGGACCACACTAGGTCCTGACCGGAACTGGTGAAACCCGGCTCCCAGGGAACATCTGTGAAATTTGTTCCCATACTGTGTACCTGAGAGCTTGGCATTGTTCATCAGACACTATACACAGTGAGTGCATGTGTGCCTCACTTCTAACAGCATTGACATGAAGTCAGCTTAGTCCCATATTAATCAGCAGAGTGACATGAGAGAAAACCAGCTCAGGTTATGTTTGCTTTTCAGGGTGTCACAGCAGCAGGTTCAGCTGTTGTATCTGGTCCTCCATATTTAGTAGATTTCAGGTGGAAAATTCAAGATGCAGCTACTCTCACGTGCATCTCATCTAACATGCCAACCATAACGTGATTAATCCCTGAACGTTTCACCCACCGAACAGGCCTTATTGTTCTTGCAGCCAACATCAGCAGGATGAGAAATGGAATTTGTCTGGCGACAATAAATGCCATCGTTCAAGCCGCCAGCATCGCCTGTCCAGACAGTGGAAAATATCGCGGATTACTAATCTGAAACTGACGAATACCTTGAAATGATCAGCGAGGCGCTGATTTGCTTGAGGATGCACACTCCCATGCGCTCGGTCTTCATCCTTTTGCTCTTGCTTCAGCCTCAGCCTCAGTCAATGGCAGCGAGCTTTCATGGCTCAGCTAACATACGCTGCGTGTCTTCACCCAGCGGGGGTCTCTCATCCAGACTACCAGATCGCTCCTTTGCTGCTCTTTTCGGATTTCATGGCAGATCAAACATTTTTATTTTATTTTATCTGCTTTGACTCTAGGCTACTTATGGTCGGGTCCTGTCTCCGAAGTGTCAGAATAAAAACCACGGACACCTGCACTGAAATCTACCCCCGCTGGAGCTTTTCACTAACCCCCCTCCCATCCGTTTTCCCCTGTTGTTATGAATGTGCAAGTGCTTTGCATGATTCTGTGAGACAGGCTGCATGGTGGAATCATAAGGTACAAGATATCCCCATTCTTCACTGTGTCAAATCTATTATTTTCTGTAGTGGTTAGGCTTTGTAGGTGGGAAAAAACTTACACAGAACGAAGGTTGAACATATTAGTATTTGTTCCTTTTAACAACTTGCAGACTTGACTTGCAACATAAATGTGTCCCCCAAATATAGTTTTTCCATATTACTATAGCCCATAGCAGCTGCAGGTTCATAGATCTTTGAAGCATGTAATTCATCACATGTCTGCATCAAGCACCTATAATCTTAGATTTATAAAGTAACATGAGTTAAGAGAACATCATCCCAGCTGGTACATCTTTAGACTTGGTGAAATATTTCTAATAGCTAAACCTATGGGACTATGAAATATCAAAATGATTATACACAGTGGATTGTTTGAAGCTTTTTAAATCCTTTATAGAAACACACAATAAATGCATTTTTTTTAAAGGTTTTGAAAATATCAAAGCAGTAACATAGTTGTTGATAATACAATAACACCTCAAGGTCCAGTTGTTCTGGAGCTTTCAGTCATGATTATCATTAGCAGACAAAGTTTGCCTATAGTTGTCATTAAGGCTGTAAGTGTCTCACATTCCACATTTTTTCCACAGAGCATGTCCAAGTTGACTTAAAATGCTAAGCTTCAAAGCTGATATATGACTTTTGAAACAAGATTTGACAAACAATCTCACATAAAGGTTAATTTGGGTGCCACTTTGATACTTTCGTCTGCATCGCTTAATCTTCATCAGCTACTTTCATACTATTTTTCTTTCTACACATCCTCAGATCAGCTCTGCCACCCATCCTGCAGGATTCAGACAGGTACATGAGAAAGGACAAAATTACACTTTTATTTCCCAAGTTTTCTGCAGGTTTACTTGACCTATAATAAATAATGAATAACTATATCAGTAAAGCTATACACATTAAAGAAAACTCTTAAGAAGCACTTGGCATAAAGCAAATAATTTATTTTTTAAACTCACAATCAATTTTAACATTAAAACCTTTACAGATAAAAAAAAAGGGAAATGCATACAGTATGTGCATAATGTCATGCTTATTATTTAATCCCCGATAGAATGAAGCTAAAGACCTGATTTGTTCTAAATGTAGCACAGACTGACTAGTTAGGCTATAGAACCACATGCTTACATTTGTTTGCTTGTATCTTCGGACAGTTCTCTTAGCACATTTAGTGTTTTTGATAAAATAACCACAGCCTTAGAGTTGACAGCTGTTTATATGAATTTTTGTGTAGCCTATATAAATCACATTTTTTAATTCTGGAAATACAGAAAATGTAACAGCATCTCTAGAAAAAAGAGCGTACATGGCCTGCTAATCAACACTAAAAATTAGCCATTTTATTTCATGTCTTTTCTCCATCTGAGCTATCAAAAAGCCCTTTGATGTGACTCTTGAATAGCCAGTGTTTTAGATTTAGATTGCAAATTAAATGCTGGTGACCACAAAGGGGTGGGGAGATGTATCCCTGTATTTATGCTGAATGGACTGTGGTTCAAAGGAGACCCACAGACCTAGTGTCTCATGGGCTTATTGGACTGGTAATACAGTATAATTGTTCACAGTGGCCTCAGGTGCCCATCTCTCTGTCTCTAGCTTTGCCATTCAGTTTTCCTCTCATTCACTATCACTCACTGCCACTTATGGGTCAACACATTCAAACACAATTTACAGATCTGTAAGCTCAGTCACATAACCTATTGTCTCTCCACCTCTATCTATGGTTCTTTCTATTTTAGTTAATAGGAGCTTATCTGTAAGTGACATGCCTGTAAATATACAATTTTGCCAAATTACTTAAGTATAAATAATAATTTAAGGATCTTGTATTATCATAGTTTTTAATGTAACTGGAAAAAAGGACAAACAATAGGCTAACTTACACTGTCTTCACTAACACGTATCAGTCTGCTGTAAACTGACCACATGCCCAGTGCCAAGCTACACATACAGTTGCCAAATGCCTGGTGAAAACATCATCTAGCATTCAGCAAAATAAAGACCCAGATATTTTCTTAGTTGGAAGTGATGGAGACCAAAAACCGAGCTAAAAGTGAGTGAATGGTGAACTCACATTGAAATGTCAAGAAATTTCAACTGAAAGTTGTTCAGTTTCTGGTGTGAAAGCTATAGTCGGTTGTTTGTTAGCATGTCAGCCATTTGAATTACTATTGCAGTGGACTAGATAACAGAAGACATACAAAGCAAACTAGTAGATACCAGAGGTCGAAGAAGTACTCACATCCCTTACTTGAGTAAAAGTAATAATATCACTGTATAAAAACACTCTATTACAAGTAAAAATCCTGCATTCAAAATGTTACTTAAGTAAAAATACAAATACAACATCAAAACATACTTAAAGTATTATAAGTAAAAGTGCTCATTGTGCAGAATGATACATTTAACAATGTGTATCATTATTTTTATTATAATTGCTGATGTATTATTGTGTTCATCCCATTTAATTTACAACTCGTAAATTACAAGCTTATATTCTTATAATTTGAAGTACTTTACAGTACATTCTGCTGTTCGTGAATTTTCCATCAGAGATCAATAAAGTCTTATGATTGTACTGTGATTTTTGTATTATTCTGCTTCTGAAAACTATATATAACTAATGTTATAAAATAAATATAGTGGAGTAAAAAGTAGAGTTAATGCCTCTAAAAGTAGCACAAATTGAAAATAGCCACTTAAACAGGGAATAGGCAAATAAATAAATAAATAGGCTCCAACTTAACCTGCCAAGCACCAAATGGCAGGCAGTTACCCAGTGGATGGTAAACACAGCCATATAGTGGCTACAGAAGTCAGAGGTCTCTCAGAAAATGGTTCAGACCAAAACAGATGAGTAAATACTGAACTTACAGTAAGTTTGTCAAGTGGCCAGGAACATGAGTTCAAAATAATGATAATTCTGATTTGTGTCCACTGAACATAGAAATATCTGCTGGTATGTTAGGGATTTTAAATTTTTTTGCATGGTGTAATCTTTGGCGCAGAACTAAAAACAGCTAATGGTTAGCTAATGCTATGAAGATTTTATAGCTGGAATATTTACAGAATATTTCCTAGTGTCCACAATGTAAAAATGCTAACTCCTGAGAAAAATACGTGGTTCTTCACTCTGCTAGTGTGGGAAATTTAACTATGACTGAGTTTTGTTTTATGTTACAGCCACTGACTGTATGGTTACAGCATAGTTACAATGGTAGGTCTAATTAGCACAATGTTGATGTAGTCAAAATCACTTAAGCTCATATTTGATTAGACATGTTAACGTGCAGTCTCTTAGAATGTGTGGGTATATGTCGCAGATAAAAACAAACAAAAAAAACTTAGCATTTGGATTTGCCTTGGTAAACCCACTGACCTTGCAAAATGTAGCATCTTTGTAACATTGTAAGGAGACAGTGTACTAACCTGGGCTTTCAGGACTAAGGAAAGTGAAAGAGTGAAGGAATAGCAACAACTGTGACAGAGATGTTTTTTGAATGTACAACTAACCATTACCATTAGAAAACACTGATATGTATTCAGGAGAATTACAAATTCTGGGTAATACCAAAATACCGAATGGTGTTTGATAAATGTATCATTATGCTTTAGAAAATAGAGTAATCTGAAATGTTTGAGAATTTTGAAACAATCGTGTCTTGTAGGATATTGCACAGTCAAGATGACTCATGTGAGGAGTGACTGACAGCTAGTCCCCGAAGAGGAGGAGTTTTGCATGAGGGTTAAAATAATGTTAGTGTTCGAGTGGCCTCCAGTTGCTTCTGGAACTAACTCGGGCTTATTGTTAATTTTCTTTTGATAAACCCTGTCGTGTGGACTGACTTTTTTTTGTGTCTGGCCAGAGAAAGTTTTCTTCCACACTAGCTAGCTACTTGCACAGCACCAAATAGTAATTCAAGTGCCTGGTTAGTACAGCACCTAAAGTTAGTACCAAGCTAATGTGCAAGTGTGCTCCTAAGAAGTTGACAGAGCCCAAAACAGAGCTAAAAGGTGATCACATATTAATCCTGAATTAGTCAAGTGGTCAGAAGCGACGTGTCCACTGAATGTGGAAATTGGCTATAGATGGACACTAGGGAGCACAGCTACAAAACAAACTGTTACCTGTTAGCTTGTTTTGATGCTTTCTGTCGTGTGCTGACATGCAGCTTAAAAGGGTTTTGTTCAGGACAAGTCAAATTTGAATGAAGAAACAGGGAGATTTTTTACTCACTGCCATAGCCGCATAAAACAGTCAGTGGAACCAACCCCCCTAACTACATCCAGTACTAGTGAAGGGGAGGTGAAGGGCCATAACTCTTTTTGTCTCTGCATTAGTGTGCATGAGTTTCAGTGACTGTTGCAAGTATGTTGTGTCATATTATGTTAGTGCCATATTGTATTTAAGCAATATGAATTTAATCATGAAAGCAAACAAAATGCAAATATCAGTTAACCTGACAGAAATAAATCAAACTGGAACAGACAAGTATACTATGTATGTATATGTGAACAGTATGCACACATATATATACTCCATTCTATACATTTAATTTACAGTAATATTTATTATACAGCTCTTTTGTTTAGGCTGAGTGCAGTTGAAGATGTAATATACAGGTTCTTGTGTTCTTGTGTTTTAGCCCAGCAGCACACATACCTTCTCCTCACAGTCTGGTTCACTTCTGGCATTTATTCTAGACACTTTTGGGAATTATGTCTCTGTTACAGTGTATATTTTGTGCAGGAGGGCAAACACACACTGCTTATTCTTTGTGTGTTTCAACTAACAATGCAGTGTTGACACATTTGTTTTGGCAGCCAAATGCTTTTCCAAACCATG